CATATGCGCCATCTCGTCACTGTCCTAGTGAGAAACAACTCGTTCTTTGAATTTTCCACTACAGTCATGCCTCCTTTTTTAGGCACACACTATATCGGGCTTACCCACTCACTGTCTAAAATGGGGTATATAATGCTTGCATCTAGCCATTTGATAATCTCTGTTTTCACTACTTCCTTCATTGTTGGATTAATTAAGTCTACGCTGGGGTTGTATGGAGTTCTTGCTTTCTTCCTCCAGCACAATCTTATGCATACAAAAGTTTGGGCTTATTCCTCTGATGTCGGCAATAGTCCACCAATTGCTCTCTGATGGGCTTTTAGCACCCACAACAGCATTTGCTCCTTCTCCATGGGTAGGTTTGCTGCTATGATAATCTGTAGTGTCTCTGATGAACCTAAGTAGGCATACTTCAGATGTTGAGGCAATGTCTTAAGCTCCAGGACTGGCGGTTCCTCTATAGATGGCTTTAACAGTTTATATTCATGATTTGCAAGGTCTAGGGACTTGTGTGTGTGCTTAGCTAACCTTTCACTGTTGTTCGTACTTTCTAGGTAGATAACCTCAGTATCTTCTTCTATATCATCAACATCACTTCCAGAGTCAACAACTTCCAGATGCTCTAGTATTGCTTCTACTTCCAACTCTTCCATTAATATTTCATCCAGAATCGTAAGCACTGAGCATTCTTCTAATATAGCACGGAACTTCATTAAGTCATACACTAAAAATTTCAMTTCATGATCTTGAACTCGCATTGTCAGCTCCCCTTTGTGGACGTCCACCAATGCTCTCCGGATCACGAGGAATGGTCTTCCAAGGATGATAGGAACTTCCTTATCTGCATCATAATCCAAAATAATAAAGTTAGTAGGGAAAATAAATTTGTCTACTTGTACCAGGACATCTTTAATTTTTCCGTTTAGATGCGTGGTGGATCGAAGCAGGAGCCGAATATCCTCCTCTATTGTCAGCTTTCTTCCCGAAAATGGTGGGATTCTTCTTGCTTGTCGTTTCCATCATTAAAAAAGTGTCTCTATTGGGATCCGTGTGTGTCTGCTAGGTCAAAATGTCTCTTTTATATCGGGTCCCAATTTTACGGCACCCAACTAGAGGTTGTACGGGTATGGTAACTTATCCCATGTCTGGGACAGTTACTGCACTGTAAATCCATGCTCCCGCTATTCTTCTCTTCGACTCTTATCTRTTTTGCCTTGAACATGCTTCATCTCTCTCTGATGGGCTCAATGCTTTTCTTCCTGCTTTTTCTTCTATGTCCAGACCTGTGCAACCAAGCAAAAAAAATAAGAGAGTTTAACACAATTTTTAGCCAGAGCATTCAAGACAAGAGATTTTATCTCGAAGTTCAATTTCTAAGATTATTCATGATGTTTAAGAGCTAAAATCGACACACTTTGACATTTCTTTGTATAAAATCACCCAAATAAACACTAGACTAACTCTCTTTTGGAGAGTTATCACACACCTTATGTCTAGCCTCTCTGGCTAGCTCTTTGCACTTATGGCCTGATTGTCTACCACTTGGTCTCCTGTGAATGGTGTTGATCACGGGAGGTCGGTCTTCACGCTTGGTAGGGGTTCTCGACCTTTCTCTCTTCTATTCCTTCTTGCTGCTAGAGGGTTTCGAGTTATCATCTCGGTTCTTCTTGGCTACATACTTCTTAAAGTGGCTCTGTCGAATCAACCCTTCTATTTGCTGCTTAGGTCATGGTAGTATGAAGAGTAGTGCCCATGGTCCCGGTGGAACCGACAGAAGTTGGACTTATCCCGCTGCACGGGATCTTGTCGCATAAGCCTAGGATCAGTCAACAAGTCGATTTTTGCGTCCTATATACTCACCAGGATCTTGGACAGAGGTACCCTAAGCTGGGTGAATGAGCTAAACCTCTAAGGCTTGTCGCTTCTCTGGTCCTCTTGCATGTTAAAATCAGGTCGGCGAAATGAATTTCCTCCATTGCCATTATCGTAGTTGTTGTTTTTCTTCTCGTCTTTCTTCTTCTTGTTTTTCGACAAAGAACCCTGCTTCTGATATTTGTCATCTTTGGACATCATTATTTTCTCTGCTTAAATGAACTTGGTTGCTCGGTCTAAGCAACCTTTAAATGTCAGCTTAGGTTTCTTTGCCAACGACCAGCTTAGCTTCTAATGAGTCAAACCATTGCAGAAGGTGGATTGAGCTAGCAGGTCGGTGTAATTCTCAACCTTGATCTTGAGGAACCATTTGATGAAGTCTCTAATGGGCTTCTTTGGCTTCTGCTTAATTGAGAAGAGATATGTGTCAGAATGTTTTTCATCTTTGTGGGTTGCGAACTGTGCCACGAAGGCCTTCCTTGACTGCTTCTAGCTCGCAATTGATTACGAGGCCAGCAAACGGAACCATTTTCTTGCTGGTCCTTGTAGAGTAATGGAAAAGGCTCTACATTTCATCGCGTCTAAATATGCGTGGATGTCCACGAGGACTCATAAGTTTCGGCATGGTAGATAGGATCCTTTGTCTCATCGTACTTGTCAAAGGTCCGGTAGTCAACTCTTCTGGTAGATAGGCGCATCTACGATGGCTTGAACGAAAGGAGACTCTTCTGGTTTGTCATCCTCTGAGGTCAGTCTTCTGACCTTCTTAAGGCCTCATTTCAACTCGCTGATCAGGTCTCTCTTCAGCTGGTCGAACTACATCTGTAGACTAATGTTGCCGATAGACTCTTCAGGATGGTCTTTCTCTGGGTCCGCATGTTTCGGACATCAAGTTTTACGCTTGTCTCCAATCTTGGAGGGTGGAGGTGAAAGTGCTGGGTAGAGATCATTCTGCCTAGGTTGGTTATTGTTACCTACGACCAATTCAGGAGCTAGATTTTGTACTTGCTGCTTCTAAGGGTTCTCGCCCTCATTCTACTTCCCCTTTCTTGGATCACATACAACTTCAGGTTATGAAAGGTCAAATAGACGGACTCTTGAATTCAGCAATGCTTGCACCATGGCATCCATGCGTGCCTTCATCATCGCCATCTGAGACTGCAGCTCTTTTGATGAGGGTACTTGTACTGGAACTGACATCATCTTACGAGCATCAACTCGAGTATTAGGTTTCCTCGAGAGTGAAGGTTGATCCACCTCCTTCCCAGGCCTGCCATTTGGCAGAGTTCGATCTCCTTGTTCATTACTTCTGGAACGAGAATCGTTTTCATCAGCCATTGCAGAGTGTCAAAGCTTGGTATGTCGGTTCCCACATACAGTGGCAAATGTTGATGCTGTTTTCCGCCGAGCTCACAGGTTGGTCACGAGCTGACGTGGATGAACTACTGAGGTGATCCCAAATGAACTTGCACATGAAACAAACACTCTGACGACCAAGTTAGTTTCAAGCTCGAGTTGTATTAGGTTGTTATCAGAGGAAATAAGATGTCCCTTTTTATAGGCAGGCGGGGGAGACAAGGCCGTTGGGATCGTTTCGATCGGCGGTTACGACTGTCAGGCCCCCAAGTCGGTAGTCGAACCTGAAGTTCCTCAGGTCAATTGATATCTCCACTTCATATTCAACTCGGTACAGGTCAGGTCGACGGGCATTGAGGGTCCCTTTTGTACCTTATGACGACTTCAAATGGAATAGATGCCTACATGTGTCTAATCTGATTTTGACCACCAACATATCCGATGGTTTTTTGAACAAGGAGAGCACCGAGAGAATGGTACGTAGGTCACCTTCAGGTTGCACCTTCTCATTTCCATGAAAGGACCAACTTCTCCTTAACAGGGTGACGAGTTCACTCCTCGAGGTAGAGATCGTTCACCTTAGTTAGCTTTTCCTTATGGGGATCATGAGGTAGTTTTGGCAGCTCCAGGACTAGTATATCTGCATTCTATGTTGTACCATTGCTTCCATTTGGACTTGCATGGCAGCCTACATGTGTTTATCTGTTTGTCTGTGGTAGATTGGGTTTTGCATAGTGTTAAACTAAGCTACTTTAGGTTTTTCTCCCTTGGGAGGCTTACCTAGGGAGGTGGTATGACATAAAAATCGTTGCCATTAAAAAGCCAGGTCGAGTCCCCTTGGTTTTTGTTACTTGAACCTTAGGAATGGTCAACCATGACTTGGTAAGCACCTAGTTTGTCTTAAGATACTTTTTGATAGACGACACCAAATGTTGATGCCAGATTTTGAATGGGTTGATATTTATGATGAGTTCCTTCCTCGCAAACTTCACATAATGAGCTATGCAAGAAGATGTACACAGAACGAACAAACACTTCAAAACTCATGTCAGTCTAAAGCCCAAGCTAAGTAGGTTAGTTCCAGACAGAATCACATACCTATGTACGTAAATGAGTGCATATTTATATGAGTCGAGGGAGAGATCGTTTTGTTACACCCATTACAGAAGTTGTTATACGGTTGGAATGGGTTTTGTATCATAGCTCGATCTCCGTGCTTAGAGGAGCGTTTTGAGGGGTATGAGCTATATAGATCGACCTTATTCATAAAAGAAGACAATCTATCATAGGCCTAACTAATTAGCTTGATAATGGTAAGTAAGCTATGGACGTGAAAATGTGTAGTACTTTTTAAAAAGTAAATGTTATGGTTTATTTCTTTTCATTTTCATTTCATTTTTTCTATCACAATAACAAAATTCATTATATTTAATATATTTCATACAATATAGTAATACCTTAATAAGAGCTTTTTTTAGTACAACAAATGCATGGTATGAAGGTTTGAACTTCCAGCCTCAAGAAAACGGTAAGTACCAATTACCGCTGAACTATGTTCATGATTTACAATAGGTTTTCAGGCATATAAAATTTGCATAAGAATTACCCTCCTAAGCATAACTTTAACGGGTCAAAACATATATTCTTGGCAAAAAAAAAAAAAAAATTCTCATCTAAAACAAAAGGGTAAGAGTTTTGAAAATATAGAACAAAATAATCACGTTTTAAACCCAATCGAAATAAAAAGGAATTTGACACCTTCTATATTTAGAATTTGGAGTTTCGCATCACAACCCAGCAAAGGGCAAAAGCGCAGCAGCAGCATCAGCATCAGCTTCAGCTTCGTGTGAAAAACCAACAAACTTTGAAACCTTCCTTCGATTTGACTCGCTCTTCCTTCCCAATCCCTTCGTCTTCCCTATAAATTCAACCTTCTTCTCCATTTTCTTCTCAACTCTGCATTTCCCTCTCCTCCCCCAATCTTTCAGGTACCCCCCCTTTATGTTTACGCTTTCGATTTCGATTTCCCATATTCTCACTCTCTCTGATTGCTTCTATGAATCTTTGATTCCTTCTGGGTATAATTTTACGGATCTGGAATCACCGAAGAAATCAGTCGCTAATCTGTTCTTCGTGTATTTGTATGTTTTTAGGTTGTGATTTTGCTTGATTTCTGCTTCTGGTTTAGTCATGAGCACCGAGGAGAATGCCAACGGTGAGAAGAATCGAGTTCCGAGGTTAAACGAAAGGATCCTTTCGTCTCTATCGAGAAGATCGGTTGCTGCACATCCATGGCATGATCTTGAGATTGGTACCATTTCGTATTTATTGTAATGTTATTCGTTATGACTGACTTCACTGTGAGGGATTATGGGCATCATTAATCTGATTTAACTGCACCTTGTTGTCTGCAGGACCTGATGCTCCCAAGATTTTCAATTGTGTATGTGTTTCGTTTCCCTCCTCCTTTTTTGTTCAACGCGATGGAAATTTTATGCACGGGACTTGAATTAGAAGAAACTGCAGTTTTAATGAACATAATTTACTGAAAATGTGGATGGTTGAGGTTGCTCTTTCTTCAAAAACTGTGGATTTCTGAATAGTGATCTTTAACCTTTACAAGCCATCTAAATCTGATCTTTTGCAGAAGTTGAAAGTTGCTTTTAAGAACTTCAAATTAGCCTCTAATTTGCCCATATGATTTGTCTCTTTTTAGCATTGATTTAGGGAATGGATAGAAAATGAGACAGAGAGAGTTGTTGCAATGTTTCATCCGCTTTAGGAGCCTTTACTTTTCATTTACTTTCAGATGAACCACCTTTTTTGATGCTTTAATATAAATTTTTCTGTGGAGCAATATCCAAGTTTTTAGGACTTCTTTTGTCAGAAAACTCAGTTTTGGTTTCTTTTTCTTTTCCCTCCAAAGAATAATTTCAAACGTTTTCAATTTGACTTGATCGATGGAATAACACAGGTTGTTGAGATTACGAAGGGAAGCAAAGTTAAATATGAACTTGACAAGAAGACAGGGCTGATCAAGGTATTGAAAGTGATCTTAAATCTCTGATATTAATAGATCTTATCATTAATTAGAGGTAAAGCAGCAATGCTTTCTTCTTTCTTTACTTGCCACGAGCTTTCCTCTGTACTGCCTAGAACTTGGAAGGTCTCGGGTCCCTGAAATGTTTTTCTCCATCCATATGAATTTGTTTTGGTTTTAAATCATAATGTTTGGAGGTTCTGACTCTGCCCATAACGAACAGGTTGACCGTATTCTGTATTCATCAGTGGTCTACCCTCATAATTATGGCTTCATTCCCCGCACACTGTGTGAAGACAATGATCCAATGGACGTTCTAGTTCTAATGCAGGTTATACTCCAAACATTACAATTTCTTATTCACTCGTTGTCTCATTCAGTTGTAATTCTTCTCATATTTATATAGTAAGCTTGCATACTTTAAAATAACTCTGGCATTGCATCAAAATCTGTCTTGTAAGAGGAAAACTGAATGTTGCTGACAAGTTTAGAACATAATCCAATATAACTTGCCCCAAACTTTTGGATTTGCCGAAGATACAGTAAAGAAACTTCGGACTCTGCATTTGTGTTGCTGTTTTTTCCTACCTGCAGGATGTTTTCAGCTTCATTCACCGAGACGATTAACAAAAATTAATATTGATTTGTTTGTGTAGGAACCAGTTCTTCCCGGTTGTTTTCTCCGAGCCAAGGCCATCGGACTGATGCCCATGATTGACCAGGTACTTCTGGAAGCTATGAAAATAACTAAAACCTTCTTTGTCCCTCTTTCAAATAATTTACCTAAATAATTAAAAAAATATCTGTTGCTTTTGATCCAGGGAGAGAAGGATGATAAGATCATTGCAGTTTGTGCTGATGATCCGGAATACAAGCATTACACTGACATCAAAGAGCTTCCCCCTCACCGTCTCTCTGAGATTCGCCGCTTCTTCGAAGACTGTATCCTTTCAAATCTGTTACGGAAAACTCGCTAACTCTTATTCGACGTTACATAAGTTGTGTACATGTCAAAGTCTTCATTTCAGGAACACAAGTTTCTTAACATTATTGAATTACAGATAAAAAGAACGAAAACAAGGAGGTGGCGGTCAACGAATTCTTACCTTCAGGCGTTGCTCATGAGGCCATTCAGTACTCAATGCAAGTCTTTCAGTCAGATCCAATGAATTCTACATTCTAGTTTCATTGCAATTTTTATTCTTACATCTATTTCAATTGAATAAAATTTGCAGGGATCTTTATGCTGAGTACATTCTGCATACTCTTAGGCGGTAGACCGATGCAATTTATCCCGCCGAGCACCTTAATAAAAGGCGGTCGTAACATCGATAATATTTCCAACATACATGTTATGTTTTACTGAAATATGGGACTGTTATATTCTGTTTGTCTTAGATTAATCCCATGTCAAGGCCCGAGCTGTTTAGTTTTTGTTTTCCTTCATGAATTTCTTATCACTACATTGAATGAGTACTCAACATTCTCTTAACAATTTTCAATTAAGAAATACTATCGAAAATGGTTATTTATTCATTTTGTTGCACACCATTTCATTGTATATGATCTGAATTATTCGAGTTGCTGTTTTTATTTTTTTCGTTTAACAATGAGGAAGATCGGGAGGACATGAGTCTGACTAATTTGAGTTTTATTTTTTTTGTTAAATCATAACGAGTAAAGATATTGAGAGTGCAAAAAGATTCCAATGAAGAGTTTTATTCTTCTTAATTAGAATCTTTTTCTGATCAATGAGAATGTTATTGAGGTTTCTTCTCTTGTTGGAAGTTTTATTTGAACCCTTGTAATAACTCCATTTTAATTTTTGATTTGTTATATATTCTATAGACCAAAAGGTCAAATGTTTGAATTATAGACCAAAAGGTCAAATGCTTGAATTACCACCTCTGCATATATATAGTTTCCTCTCTTATTCTCTCTGACACCTTAGATACCTTGTAATTTGTAAGTTTTGGTAGAATTATGTAACGGTAAATTTGAGAAACTTTGTTTATATTTAAATACTGAGTTTATGTAGATCTTTTTTATTGAATAAAGTGATAAAATTATGACATTTATCTAAGATTAGGGCATCAAATTTAAATTTATTAAAAGAAATATAAACTTAATTCTATTTTGTAAATTAAAGTTAAAATTATTTATTTTAAATTTTTAAAATTGTATTAAATTTAAATTTATTAAAAGAAATATAAGCTTACGGAGACCTATTTGGTCTAAACAAAGCTTAATTATAAATAAAAGTTAAAATTATTTATTTTAAAATTTTAAAAATATATTTAGAAAATCAAATAAGGGTAACATTGAGATTTAATCAGAGGACAATAAAAATATATTAAACAAATTAAAGTATGTTGAAGTTGAGAGCCAATAGTACGTTTTCCAGATGGTAGCGGTACCAAATCCCACGTGTGAGTCTGATGTAGAGCCGTAAGTTCCTCAGCATTCTACCAAAGTGGATCACAAACAGCCTCTCTAAAAAATGAAGGTTCATAGAGATGATGAATTGAAGTAACAAAAGGAGTAAAAAAGCTAGAATAACATGAATATGCAAAATCTGGTAGTTTAGTGAGCAGTCATAGGAAGCGGAGAGTGAGATGTAGATCTGTCTGACAAGTGATGGGAACTATGGAGAAAAAAAGAATATGTTCTAAAAACACAACATGACGAGAGATATACAATTTTTGACTAATTGGATCAAAACAATGATATCCCTTTTGACCAATACCATAGCCTAAAAAAACACATAAAGGCTGATTTAGGAGACAATTTATTATGCTCAACGTGTGGGCGAAGAACAAAACAAGTACAACCAAAGACACGCAATGAGGAATAATCAGGCACATGTCCATATAATTTTTCAAAGGGAGACAGACCTAAATTATTATATTCATCACATGTGTGGCGGTAAGAATCACTTCCCCCAAAATTCGTTTGGAACATCGGCTGATAACAAAAATGATCGGGTAGTTTCAACAAGATGGTGATGTTTTCTCTCAAAAACAGAGTGTCAGTATAAGAGGTCTGATGTAAGTCCCATCCGAAGCAAGTAAATGGGAAAGTCATTAAAAGTGTATTCACCACCAAATCACAACGAAAACACTTTATGACTGCGGAATGTTGAGTTTTCACAATAGCTCGAAAGTTTTGAAAATATTAAGAAAGTTGGACCTACGTATCATGAGATAAACCCAAGTATAATGAGTATAATCATCAATAAACAAAATGTAGTATTTGGAACCCCCCTTTAGTCCGTACAGGAGACGGCCTCCACACATCAGAATGGACAAGATCAAATGGAGCAAGAGAAACAGAAGTACTATTATTAAAAGGTAAAGTCGAGAATTTTGCAAGTTTACAACCACTACAATCAGAAATATCATGACTGTCTAAATATCCCAAAGCTCTTGTAGACACTAAGAAACGCAAACGAGATGCAGAAACATGACCCAAACGAGAATGCCACGAATAAAAAATTGAAGATGAACTACTCAAGCGAAAGGAGGATGAATCCACACTAGAAGCTGCAACACCTGATACTTTGAGTTGATCCAAAATATATAGTCCTCCCTGCCTACGGCCTGTCCCAATCTCCTTCTGAGACCACGGGTCCTGTATAGAACAAATGGAAGACGAAAAAGAAATTAAGTATCCAGATTTATATAATTGACTAACAGAGACAAGGTTCAAAGTAAGACTAGGAATATAGTAAACATCAGAGAGAGACACAAAAGAAGTAACAATTGTGCCGACACCTATTAATGGCATAGGAGTACTATCAGCAGTCATGATTGGTACAGAAGAATGAGAAGACAAAGAAACAAAAGATGACAAACTAGGAGACATATGATGAGAGGCACTTGAATCCAATACCCATAAGGTAGATGATATACCTGACGTATCAAGTGATGACAAACCTTTAGAAGACGAGGCAGGCATAGCATGAGGCTGTGAAACCAGGAACTTCTGAAACTGCTCAAACATGTAGGGATCCAAAGATGGGGCCGCCACTCCATATTTGACTGAAGCGGTCGATATGTCCATGGAATGGGTTGTGAAGATTACTGCTGCTGGGATGGCGGATGATGTTGTTGTTGCTACTTCTATTGCGATTTACCCACCTTATCATGATGAAGAGCCATAAGAAATTGGACCAAGCACCGTGAATCTCTCTGAGCAATGTAAGCTTTAAATGTGCTTAATTCTGAGGATTCTGTTAAAGCCAACTGATCCCACAACTCTGACATAAAGGAGTAAAAGTCCTGAATACTCATATCATTCTGTTGTAATGCACGAATATCTGTCTCCAATTGGTATTGTTTGGCAAAATTAGACTGAGTATATAATTTGGCCAAATGATCCCAAACCTGTTTAGCTTTCGCTAATTGAGCACTTGGAGTGTGTAACAGAATTATTTATCCACATGATAATCTTTGAATTGTCAGCCTCCCAAGTATCCAATGAGGATGCATAGTCATCTGTCTTGGTGTCTTTAGGCTTAATTCGAACACCTGTAACATAACYCCACATAGATTTTCCACGCAAGAAATTCTTCGTAACATAACTCCAATACGAGTAATTTTTACCATCTAGTTCTACACTAATGAATTGAAGAGAATCGTCCTTACGAATTGACATAACGACAAAATCAAAATCCAATTATTTTTTCTTCTTGTTTTTTTTACCACCAAACTGTCACTAAGAAAAACACTCTATAACTACATAAAGTCAAAATACCAAAATCCAAAGTCAAAATTCATCACAAAAAACGAAGCCATAAGCCACCATCACAACACATTGAAGCAGATCAATTTGTGACAATCAATTTGTGACTAAATCAATTTGTGATCTGCAATCAATAATTGAAGATCAATTTGTGACTAAATCCACCCCTGATTTTCTCAAAGTATCAAACAATCCAACCACTGATTTTCGATTGAATCATGGCAATTACTAATCACCAATTGAAAATCAATTTGTGATAAATCCACCACCAAATACCAAATTATAAATGGATTACCAAATTTGTGCCGCCGACGCCAAAATTGAACGATACAAAAGGAACAAATTGTTCTGATATTTCTGATTGATCTGACAACCCATTCGCAGCAAATTGAACGCCAAAATTTGTTTACCAAATTTGTTCCTTCATCATTCTCATCTTCTGAGATCCATGAAAACATAGGGAGATAAAATTAGGGTTTGATTTATTAACAATCATATTGGAATAATGCTTAGAGAAGGCCACTGTAAGTCTTAACAAGTCAATACTGAAAAGGTTGCTTATTTGCATTGTTGAGTGGTTAAACCGAGGAGAGGAGCGCCTTAG